TCGAGATTTTTGTACCCTGTTCATCATTTTGCCCTCCAAAACTTCCTTTGAAAAGTGGGCTCCCTGGCAACCCACTTTCAGATCCCTCCTGTCTCTCCTGATGAAGTTTTCCTGCTCTTCACTTTCGTTGTTCCTCAAATTTCATTCTTTGATTTTGAAGAACACAAACTCGACGTATCTAATGTCTAATAGGTTAAGAGTTATGGTATTTTACCTTGTATCATTTAGAGGTCCTATATAGGAAGGAAAGAAGGGAGGAAGAAAAGAAGGAAGGGAGAGAAGAAGGAAGGAAGAACGGAAGGACGGAAGGACGGAAGGAAGGAAGGAAGGAAGGAAGGAAGGAAGGAAGGAATCCCGTGACCCAGTGAAGCTCCTGAGGTTCTTGGGGTTAAGGACCAGCAGGAGGATGAGAAAAATAAACAGAAGACCAAACTGGGGTCAGGTGGAGCCCCTGTCCTCCTGATGGGAGGAGAGGAACTGCTCAGCCACTGTAGCACCTTTATTTTTATACTGGGAAAGATGAGGTGAATTTCAGCCCCTCTGCCTAGCAACCCACTGCTTGGCAGGCCTGGGCTCCTTGTGTTATTGGTGCTGGAACAGGTTGTTTACCTAGCTTGTTTTGGTCTCTCTGTTTTTCTTGGGCTGGCCTTGCTTTAGCTCTTCACATGCAATCAATCTCTAGCTTCCATGGCTCCCAACATATCCCTCTTTTTGTTTTGTTTTTGCACAAGATGGGTGGTCAGTGGAAGCTGGAGGAGCTGTGTTGGAGAGCTCTGTAGATCTTTTATTTTGAGTGCAGTCCAGACTTTAAGTTCCTGCATTCTGAAATTGAAACTCTGTGCAGTCCATTAATCTGTGATAGTAGTCAGCTACCAGTGTAGCTGGCAATTGTCAAAAGATATTAGTGATTTGAGTTTCTTTTATAACATATTACTGTAGCATTGTTTTATATACCTCTAGTAGTCGTGCATTTTCTGCAAGATATTCAAGACCAAGTTAAAGTGAGAACTGTTTTTAAAACAATCAATGTTTGTTGTCTATCAAGGTCAGTTAAGTCTACTCAGGAGGACCTTGGGAGCAGCTATGGCACCTCTTAGTTCTTCTGTCAGTGTCAGCCATTCAGGTGAGTCATGACCATTGCTTGACCAAGTTGCTTTCTGTGAAAGGTTGAGAGATTTTGCTCCTGGTGACTCTCCTTAGGCTCACCACACACCGATGATCACTATCCTCAGTGGTCTCACAGTCTTCTTGATCAGAAGGCCAGGGACTCACCGAGTATAGGATGATGCAGCAGAGGTTCTCTAATGTCCTGAGTCCTTACTGACCTTAGAGCTAGGGCCAAAATACTGGCTGTCCTCTTAGGCCTGCTTGTCTCTCTAATTGTTGGTCTCCAAACTTCAGTTGCTGAATTTCCAGAAGAAAAGACTGACAACAGTATAATGTAGCAGAGGCAGTGTCATCTTATCTAAATATCAAACATCTTACATCATAAAATAGAACCATTATTTTTTAACAACCATGGCTGTTTTAACATTTGAATACCTGTAGAATACTAACAAACAGTTACATATTTTACATAGAAAGTTAGAAATCAAACCATGTACAACATTGTAGCATACAAACCATGAAGACATTTTGTAACACACTTAAATTTTCACTTTGACATCAAATTTCTCTTCTTTGGTTAATCATCCCTATCTAATACATAAAAGATTTTATGTAACTTGTTGATGTTTAGTGGGGTGTAGATCTTGTTAGCATTCGTTGAAGGCAGAGGTCTGAATCTGAACCAAAATTTTATCACCATAAATAACCCCTGTTTTACATTTTTTGAAGCCCTGTACATCTGGAGGCATGAGTACATAAATATACGATGAGGCTAATAATAATTATTTGTCATAACCATATGAAAAATTTGTATGGACATTTTAAAATCCAAAACCTTTTGTATTATTTTTTGATGATGACCATCGTGAACATATTACAATAATATTTATATAACTTTAGTTTAGTTGGGGTGTCACCAGGTGGCCACTTTCTCATTCATCAATTGATGTCCTGCCCAACAATCCCAACCCCAGGGATTTTTATTTAATCATTTTTATAATAATTTTTTCTTACGAAAACTCCAATCATAACATTTAACATATTATTTTTGAACAATGAGAGACGCTCAAGTAATGATAAGCAACAATGTACATTACATTTACACAACTGATTTTAGAGTCATTTTGACTAACTGGGAACCCAGGTGGAAGCATGTTTTATAATCCTATAACTCAAATAAACATTGATAAAACAATCTATAAGTGCAAAACGAAAAGGAAAATTGCTGAGCTCAAAATAAAAGAACAGCTGTTCACAAACAGACAATGGACAAATGAACAAACACGGACAGACAATCTGTACAGATTCAAACAGACATAGAAACAGAGTTGTTGGTGTCCACAAGAACTCCAAGTTCCTGGGGGCTATTTCACACTCTTTGCTGGACTAGCTGGCTTCTTACAGCCCGTGTCCTCGGGGTTGGAACACCTGTCACCTCCAGCACCCCATGCTCTCGGGGCGTTTCTCAGGCACCCCGTGCCACTTGGGCACTCCTGTACAGGCACTGGTGCTATCGGCTCCACATGTGTGAGTGATCACTAGCAACAGCTTAACAGCGTCCAGCAACAGCTTAACAGACTGGACAAACAGACAGACAGATTCACAGGCAGACTGACAAACATCTTACACAATCAGAGTGCACTCAGATATATTTTAGCCAAATTGAATTACACAAAATGTTTTTACAATTGTAGAATTTGAAATTTTAAATAGACTAGCCACATTTGCTGTAGGTCAGTTAGCAGAGATTGCTTATCAAAGAATTTGAAAAAGACAAAATCTCATCTATAATTAACATTTTTGCCATAGGACTTAGCATGCATTTCTATCATCTATTTGGACCTTTTTTATTTTTGGTTATCATCTCTTGGGCAGCTTGGATTAATTAAGGTTGGTTCTCGCTTCATCTTTTTCTATGGGTTATGGCATGGTCTCCAAGGCATCACTGTCATAGGACCAAACATCAGCTTCTTGAGAGGTAGAATTAACTCCTTTCCTGGGTTTGGGCCCATTTTATAGCTGGACAGCACACACTGGCACTCAGATAAGCCATTTAACTTTTCCTGGAAAAACACAAGCATTTCCTCGACCCCACATTAGCACTGGACTGGGTGCTTCTATTGCCCAGTATGAAGATCATTCTAATGGACTCTTGAGATTTGATTTATTTGATTACATTATCTATCTGCTGAGGTAGTTACATCTTTATTAGAATTTAAATATTTTGAATGGTATATACTGCCAAATGAAATCTATTAGGAGGTGAGCTCTCCCTTTTTTTTAAATTTAAATTGTGAGCACATTTAGCTTACTTTTAGACCTGAAGATTGTAAAGAAATTTTGTGGTAAGGTATAGAGCAAATGGAAACTGCGTTTCATACTTAGGTACCGTGGGCGCTCCCATGACAGGCAGGTGTCCTCCTGCTCTGGGCTGGAGCCTCGCTGCTGTTGGGGATCTGAGCACCAGTGCAGTGTAAACTTTTGATGCATAAGGCATTTACAGAGGTGACAGGAAAAACTTGTGTGGCTTGGGCAGGCCAGAGCGTGTCGCACCTCTCTAATAAGCATCAGAAGATCCCAAATCCTTAGGTAACCTTTCTGTATTTGTAGATTTTCCAAATTTTGTCAAGGAAAGACTAGCCAATTGAGCAATACAGTAATGAAGGGAGATTTGAACTGTGTTTCCAGGAGATTGAACCATAACCCTGATTTCTCCTTGCTGCTGAAACAAGCAATACTGATTCTTTACTTTCCTTGTCTGGGCCAAACTCCAGGCCCAGGGGAGGTTTTGTTGTACTCTCCTCTGCCTGGGGCCTGTGAGAAGTAGTGAGAGGAGCAGAAACCAGCAGTTTTATTAAATGACCCTTTAAAATCTGTAGAGGGCCAGCTGATTTGTCTTGGTTTGTTTTCTCCCTAGTCTTGCTCTAAGCTGTTTTTCAGTTTCCTCCCAAGTAGGTAAATTTAAAATTTCTTCTTCCGGAGACACACTCAAGAAATTTAGCAAGCTGTGTAGTGTCAGTGTACTGAAAACTAAAATTGACTTAAGAAAGCAGAAAGGACCTAAATAAATGTAGAGTTATGCTAACCGCAATTTGAAACAAGTAGCCCTGTAGTAAACAATTTTGAAAAAACAATGGAGTTTGAGAATTTACGTTACCAGACATCAACACCACTACAGAGCCACAGTGAGACAGTGATATGCTGGAGCCAGCCTGTGATCAGCTGTGAAAACCAAATGTTGAAGTTTTAGAAGCTTTAAAAGTTAGTTGTTTTCGTATTGTTATTTGAAGTTATCTTTTGTAAGAGCATTTTGTAAATAGAAATCAGCAAGCCTCGAATCAGGACCACATTACCCCTGACCATTAGGAGCCTGCCGGGCCAAGGGCCTGGCCATCTCGGGGAGCCGTCTGAGCCCTCACACCCCTGCCTTTTGGCAGGGCTGCCGCAGGCCCTGCTGGAAGTTTTTCTTTTGTAACAGTTTGAAGTTACATCGAGTGGCCTAATTTACATCATCCTCCACACTTTGGACAGCCAGTGGGAGGTTTTGCTGGATGGACAGTTAGTGGCTCAGTTAAGGATATCCGGGTGGGGGTCATGCGCCACCTTTTCCCTGCACGGGACCTGATTCTGAAACAGTGCCTGGAGCTAGTTTCCTTGTAATTGTCTCAAGAAGCTTAAGGTTATTAAGACCCTGTCTAATCCAGATCCACGGAAGGAATGTAAATACTGGGATCAAGCATATAGCAAACAGTCTCTTATACATTTATGATTCTTTTGGTAAGTTTGTCCCATAGTATAACAGCTGATATAATCAATATACCTCTTCCTGCCCACCTCCAGGGGAAGGGGTTTCTCACAGGCCCTAGAGAATAGGGGGTTTTAATGTTCCACTGTTTACAACTGATGAAGCCAACATCAATACACTGCAACAACATCAGTACACTGCAGTGATGGCCACTGACCTATACCAGTGCACTTCTCTGCCTAAGTTGCATGCACATGAGAAGTGTGCCCTCACCGTCAATCTCTTACCCTGTCCATGTTTTGATGTCAATATGCTGTGGCCCAATGTGGCTCCTGAGGTTCTTGGGGTTAAGGACCCCGAGAGGATGAGAAAATAAAGAAGAGACAAGGCTGGGGTCAGGGGGAGCCCTTATGCTCCAGATGGGAGGAAAGGAACTGCTCAACCAATGCAGCTTCTTTATTTATATACTGGGAGAGCTGATGTCAACTTTAGGCCCTCTGCCTAGCAACCCACTGCTTGGCTGGCCGGGGCCCCTTGTCTTCTTGGGGCTGGAACAACCTGTTTACATGGCTTGTTTTGATCTCTGTTTTTCCTGGGCTGGTCTTGCTTTAGCCCCACAGATGTGATCAATCTCCAGCTTCCATGGCTCCCTACGAAGGAAGGAGGGAGGGAGGGAAGGACAGGGGAAGAGGAGGTTAGGAGGGAATCCCTAGTAGAGCTTTAAGGAAGGCAGAGCATGGTGTCTCCCTTCCAGATACCCAGACACCCCGACCCCCCAGCAGTGGCCAGCAGATCCCCATCCCCACCTCAGCCCTGGTCCAACCCACCCTGGGGCCTATTCACTGTTACACCTGGTCCAACTCTGCCCTGTGCAGAAAACTCCATGAAGCTGAGGGGTGAGGCATAGAGGTGGGCACGGCCTGGGCCAGGACCCTGGCTAGTGAGAAGGTGCTGGCACCCTCAACTCCTTAGGCCTTTGGCTGAATCTGGGCGCCCCGGAGCAGGTCAGAAATGTGAATGCTTCTGATCCCCTTCCCTTTGGTACAAGCTCTATCTCCATTTACCATTCTCTTTCATTTTGCTCCTTATTAGCCATCAAGTTTCTTGCGTACGAGGAACCACACAGCCTTTTAGCTTGTGTGTCTGATTTATTTCAGTTATCACTGTGATCTCAGGCATTGTCCAGCAAGCCGTCCTTCAAGGCAGAGAAGGAGAGAAGGGGACAAAAAAATAATTATGAGGCGTGATGTTCACGTAGCAACTCCCCACGAAGATGCAATCACTGTGTCCTGCAAACTTAGACTAAGAAACAATTGTACAGATAGACATATACTCTCAAAATTAATGCATTTGGGGCTGGGGACTTAGCTCAGCAGCATAAGCACCTGCATGGCAAGGGCGAGGTCTTGAGTTCGAGCCTTGGTACCAAAAAAAAATGCATTTTAAAGTCAGAAGCACAAGTTCTAAATCGCACTCCGGACCAATTGAACCACGCCTGCTTTCTTACAAGACCCCAGGGGTCCTGTCCCCCACCCCACCCCCAATCTGCACCCAGGATCAGCAAAGTCTCAGGGTTGGGAGCCGCTGTGCGCTCACTGGCGCCACCTGGAGGCCTCCTGAAGAACTGGCCGGGATTTGGGGAAGCCTGAAGCCAGGCCTGGAGGTTTGGAATCCAGCAAGCCTGGGCGGACATCATGGCTGTCTGACCCTGCGCAAGTTTATTTGTCCCCTTGGGCGGTGGTGGAGGGATGAACATCTTACCTGCTATCCCAAAGCCGCCGTCACACCTCCTCCGTCAGAGCTGGGGTTGGAAAATGTGCAGCCGCTCCTAGCACCCAGGGCGCCTCCCAGAGCCGTGGGCGGAGCATGGCTCACCTTAGGACAGGCTGTGATCCGCGTCCCCCAGAGTGTGCTGAGCTCCCAATCTTATTTGGAGACAGAGGCATGGCAGATGTCATCAGTTATCACGAGGTCACGCTGGAGTAGGCGCACGCAGCCCAGTAGGATCCATGCCCTTATGGAACAGGAAGCCAACAGCCGGGCCTGGGGTGTGGCTGCAAGCCGAGCAGGGTTGGGGACCACTGGCCTCCACAGAGCCAAAAGAGGCCGCAGAAGGTGCTGCCCGGAGTCTCCCAGCTGGCCTGGGCCTGCTGACACCTGCACTCCAGACTTCCAGCTCCGGAACTCTGAGCAGATTCGCGTCTGTCTTCTCAGGCTGCAGCACCCACCGCGCAGGCGCTAGAAACCTGCACCCCTGAAGCTCAGTCTGCTGAAGTATCCTGGATACACCCAAATCCATTTTACAACAGAAAACGGACAAAGAGCCCACGGGCATGTGGCCCGGTGTCTGTCTCCTTTACTCACGGGGAAAAGCCAATGGAAACCGCAACCAGGTGCTGCACAACACCCACCAGACTGGCAAAAATCGTACGAATGCACGAATGAACTGAGAGCTCCAAGGTGAGGCAGAATTGAACAGCACCGGCCCTGGCCGAGGACCTGGTAAACGCCACAAGCCCTGCACGGAAAGGTCTGGCGGGTTGGATGACACCACAGATGACCTCCTCGATTCAAACGCATCAGTTCAAACGCACGCACACACGTGTGCACGGCAGCTTTTGCCCTGGAGCAACGCACGCAGATGTCCATCGACGGGAGAGCAGAGAAGCACGCTGCCCTGCAGCCCGGCTCCCCGGCCAGCGGTCAGGGGGACACAGCGCTGCTGCGTGAACAGCGCTGGTAGGAGAACGGAGGCACCCCACGTCCCTAAGGCTCAGGGGATAAGCAGACCCAGAAGCATAAGTGTCACATGGTTATGAGAAACTCAGGGTGTAAACAAAGAGTAAAATAGAAGACAGATGACAGGAAAGAGGGAGGCAGGCTTTGCAGGCTGGGAAGGGGGCCTGGGATGAGGGGAGGGGAGGAGGAAGGGGTGAAAGTGGTTAAAATGTGATACCTACACAGACCAGTGCCACACAATGAATGTAATCACTGTCCTCGCACACGCAGACCAATAAAGAAGACAACAGGATAAGCGTCAAGGCAAGAGGGCCTCACACGGAGAATCCATATTTACACAACGTTCTAAAACATACAGAACCGGTTTCTGAGGGGAAGGAATCAGTACCACATGCCCTTTGGGCCGGGTGGGTGCCGGGGAGTGGTAGGGGAAGGCCGGGCTTCCCAGTAGGACTGGGCTCACAGGGGCACGCATTGGCCAAACCCGTTCCCAAGAGCACGGAAGTTTTGTGCATCTCTGTGTGTGAACTGTGCTGAAAGAATAGGCAAGGTTTGAATCACAGTAAATAATATACGTTTTGGAGTTCAGTGTGACACGCATGGTATGTCTCTGATGTACTTTGAAAGCATCCCTGACCCATCCCTTTTTGATGTACTTGGAGACAGGTTAGATAGATAGATGACAGATAGTTAGGTATGATGGGTGGAAGGGCAGCGGGTGGGTGATTTGGGGAATACAGTAAGGGTTGACAGTGGGCAGTTCTTTTAACTCCCTGCTGGATATTTGAAAGTATTCCTAAAAACATGTTCGGGAAAAGAATCAGGTATGTGTCTGGTGAAATGGCAGTGGTCTGATTCTCTTCCCCTCCTATTCTCTCCTCTCCCTCTCCCTTCCCTTCCCTCCCCTTCTCATCCCTTCTGTTGTAAATCACCCACGGATGATTCAAAGCTCTCTTAAATCCCACAAGGGTTCTTTCAGTGCGACCCACTCCCCACCCTTCCTCGACCTCCACTCCCAGCTCCATTTACGCCTCCAAGCAGCTGTCAGTCACTGGGGCGAACACCAGCCCATACCGGCAGGCACCCCAAATGACCCCAGCATATAGCAGGCGACCTTTAAGTGCTGCTGCCAAAATGGCTGCTGCTGCAATTATTCCGTACAAAATGCTACAAAGCCCAGCACTCCTCCCAGGAGTTTACTCTCGCCCGAGCCCTGCCCTAGACGTGACTTCTCCGTACGAGGCATTTGATTTCAGCTTAACAGAAGCTCTATGGCCAGGTATTATTACAAAGAAAGTGAGGCCAAGAAGTGACGTTCTTTTCCTGCAACCTATGATCAGGGATGTTTTCCAACACAGGCAAGGCAGAGAAGTTGCCTATCTGGGCTAAGTAAAATGAATTATTAAAGTTAATTTCACCTGCCTCTCCTTGCTGTGCTGCCCCTGGAGGAGTCTTCAGGTTGCTGCGGGTACTGAGGGAGCCGGGAGGGTGCTGGTCTCGAGAGGCACCGGAGCGCTTTGAGGCCATCTCCTGGCCCAAAGCTTCCCTTCCATTTGGTTGCCTTGGGCTCCTCCTGTGCAGCTAGGTATAACCAACTGCATGAAAATGAAAGTGCTTCGTGGGACGTCCAAGGAGGCTATTTAAAGACCAGGGAGGACGCTTGCCTCTTTCTTTTCTGTGCTGTCTGGAACTTGGATGCAGTGGTCTAAAGCTCTTACAGCCATTCTGGGCCAAGAAGTGACCTAGAAAATGAATGTCATCAGAAAACGGATAGATCAAAAAGACAGAAGCTGTATCACCTCTCATCAGAGACACACGGCGCCCAGCTGCTGAAATCAATTCGTTCCCGGCCTGACCAGCCCGTGACAAACCTCCCAGCCTGCTCTCTGCCTGCGGGTTTCAACACCCAGCGATGACCATTGCCCTGATTCATTCTTCTATCATGGGTTGCAAAGGTTACATCCCCATTTTCTGTGTTTATGGAACTTTTCCATAAAGAACATTCCCTCATGAACTTTGTTGCTCTGAGGAACCCTGAGGTGCAATGAATGAGAGGAATAAACCCCAGAAGGCGCCCATGCAGAAGAACCAATGTGTACATTTTCCTGTGCGTGCAGTTGTTATTGTAACGATTTGGAACTTACCCTGAGTTTTAAAAGATTTTTAAAGCAATGAACCCCAGGAAATGAGGTGGGGACCTCCCGGGCTGTAGGGGTCACCTCTCCTGATAGTGATTAGGGAGTCAGCAGCAGGATTCACACTTGGTCACTGTTTTGGAACTTGTGCAACTGGCCAAATGACTTTTCACAAACTTTGTAAACAGCTCAATCTTGGGCATCTTTTTTTTTTTTTAACAGTAATAGGTATCACAGTATATTTCGTTATCTTTACAATAGTTGTTCTTTCAATCATGTATATCAAAATAAAATGAAATACAGAACGTTATAGAACTTATCAAAACAGAATATTGAATAGAGCAGTACCATTAATCAGAATAGAGCAAAACAGTAATAAAAATATTTGCCTTCAAAGAGATGGTAGAAGAAAATCCCCCCTGTTTGCTATGGTCAACCTCCCAGGAGATGCTCAGATTTCTGCTTTTCATTTGCTAATGGGGAGACAGGAGAAGGGGGATAGGGGAAGTGGGATGCTTGACTCTAGGCCGTGCATCAGTAGGTTCACGATTGCTTAGCAGAGAGGCAGGCTGGTTGCTTGGTTTCCCAGTGTCCTAAGTTCCAACATAGTGTGGATCTCAGGAGACGCTGGTGGTTCTCCCCCTGGAGGGGCCACAGTCTGGCACACCACAGCTGCTTACCAGGGTGGGGAGCTGCTTGCTTGGTTTCCCAGGGTCCTAAGTTCCAACAAGGCAGGGATCTCAGGAGACAATGGTGGCTCTCCCCCTGGAAGGGCCGCAGCCGGCTGCGGACATCTTTTAATTAAAGTACGGATCACCTTATTCTTTTAAGACTTTTTTTTTTTTTTTTTTTTTTTTTTGGTGTACAGGGAATTGAACACAGCGTCTCACACATGCTAGGCAAGTGCTCTGCCCCTGAGATACAGCCCCACTCTTTATTAGCGAACTGAAGACCCTGTCTCTCTAAATTGCCTGGGATAGCCTTTAACTTGTGATTCACCTTCCTGTCTCAGCCTCTCAAGTAAGTAAGTACAGGCACTCACCACCATGCTGGGCCAGCTGAATCTCTTTTTTAAGTGTGTAGCACAGCAGTGTGAAGAACACTCATATTGTGCCATCTGCCTCCAGAGCTTTTTTTATCTTGCAAAAGTCTGCATCCATTAAACAATAGCTGCACCCCATCCCTCACCCCGGCTCTGGTGGCCATATCCCACTTGCTCCCATGGGTCTCTCTATTTGAGATTCCTCACTAGTAAGATCAGATTCACCTCTTCATGACTGGCTTCTTTCACTCAGCACAACGTCCTCCGAGGTCAACCATGCAGTGACACACGGCAAGACACCTTCCTTCCTTCAGACAGCCGAGCATCAGTTCACCCAGCGGGGGGCACAGGGCGGAGGGGGGGTCCCACTTCTCGGCCTCTGTGAATCAGGCTGCTATGACCTGGAGCGCTCAGGCCTACCCACCAGGTCCTGCTTTCAGTTAGTTCGAGTGGGATAAAGGGCAACAGCCATCCAGGTTCAACGCGCCAAATGAACGTGGCTTGGTCTTCACATCAGCATCCCGGCCTCTGCCTTCTCCGCCCACTCTTAGCTGTGGACTCTCCGACAGCTTCCTCACTGTCTCCGGCTGGGTCTCCCCAATGGTCCGGGATCGAGCAGAGCCTACAGCCTCGGGCTCTGGGGAGTGAGAAGTAAGTCAACGTGGGCAGAGCGTCTCGTTCACTGTCTACCAGGGGAGCAGCACTGGGGTGGAAAAGCTCCCATCTCCGGGAAGACACTGTGTGTGCTGCTTACCACATCGCCTCGGGTGGCAGCCTACGGTGACGGTGACGGTGACGCAGAACCAGCCAGGGGCTCTTGGTGGGGAAGCCTTGAGGTACAAGGCTGGGAGGGGGGTGTCTGCAGGGGCCGGTGGGCTCTGTGTGCTGATTAAAGCAGAACTCGGGGTGGTGGGAGTCCAAATGGTGAGAGGCCCACAAGGCTGGCGTCTGACTTGACATCACCATACTGATGTCATTTTGACAGCGGCCCATGGCGATGACAGATGTCTCCATAGGAGTTGGGTGAAGGGAACGTGGGGACACTCCTGGCCATTTTGCAACTTCTTCTGAGTCTTGGATTATTTCAAAATAGAATGTTACACTGGAAGTGTAATATCCGGTCACCTCCTGGAAGCTCTCGGTGACCACGCTGTGGCTATGTCTGATCTGTCTAAAAGCATTCGCTGCCCTGTCTCATCTGCTGGACCTCTATGCTCCACCTCCTGGCCTGCTTTTATCATTGCAGAGTGGACGCCAAGGTTCCTTGGTGGGGGACGCCCCCCGCTGAGGCAGGAGGCGCTGCCGGCAGATGCAATCATGAATCATGTGTACTTTTCACACCGGCCTTTGTTAGAGCCCTTGTGCAACTGTCCAAAGTGTTTCACAAACTGTAACAAGAACCAGGCTTTACAGGTCCTCCACGCCTGTAACAGGAAGAAGAGTCCACCGAGCAAGTGCCGTGAGAGCCTGGAGACGCCTTCCTCCGAGGGAACCCAGCCCAGGCCTGAGGGCAGGCGAAGCATGGGAACATCCCCCACACTGCTTGTTTACCTGCCACAAACCCTGGAATACTACTGTGCCATGAGTAAGGATCAGCTTGGATTACACCTAGGAAAATGGATGTACCTCGAAGCCACATGGAAGTGAAATAAATCAGACACACAAGCTTGACTATCACACAGCTTCCCTTATATGAGAAACCAAAGTATAAACAATTTAAAAATAAAAGATGATAGGAAGCAAGGATAGAGATCTTTCGCCAGTGGAAAGGGAATCCAGAGACAGGGAGGTGAGGAAAAAAGAAGAATAAAAACAATTAAGATACATTAGTTCTGGTACCCACCACCTACAGCGAATATATATATATATATAATGGGTTGCAAACATGCACTAATAAGAAAAAAACTTTCAAACCCAGCAAGGTGACCGAAGAAACATACTCTCCTTTTCATGTTTTCCAAGAAAGGATGGAACAAACAGGAACAAAGAGCCAGTGGAGATTTATCATTCTACGCCTCCTAAATAAACCTACTTTATGTGTCATGCAAGGTGGTGTTTCTTAACACACACGCACAGACACATACATCGCACACGTGCCAGAAGCCCTGGACTCAGTACTGGTGTTCATCGGTCATGGTGGTTTATGCCTGTAATCCCAGCACCCGGGGAGGCTGAGGCAGGAGGATCGCTGCCAGTTCCAAGCCAGCCTGGGTTACATATCGATTTCAAGGCCAGCCTGAACTACAAAGGGAGACCCTGTCTTGAGACCAAGCAACAACAGAAAACTGGCCATTCCTCCCAGGTGAGCTTGGAATGATGTTCAACTCTGTTAGCCCCAGTTTCCTCTGTACGCAGAGGAGACAGCCAATGGGAGCCATGGTGGGGATGGGGGTGTCAGTTTTTTAGTGTAAAACTCAGAAAACAGAGCACAGGGCCCAGGCCTATGACCGGCGCTGACATTCTGTCCCTCGAATAAGTAGGTACACAATGAATTTGCCTTCTTTCCTCCTCCCTCACCGCCCAGCAATGATTTTACTGGGAAAAGAGAAAAACACTAATTTCCTTTCACTGGATGGGCAGAGTTACCGGAGTCTGAACCCAGGGCTTCTGCACTGAGCTGCATGCCCAGTCTTTTTAAATTTTTTTTTTTTTTTTTTTTTTTTCTATTTTGAGACGGGGTCTCAGGAGACCGCTCCCCCGAGCGAGCGCCTAGGGGCGAGGCCTCCGCGCCGTCCGCATGCGCCTCGCTGCGCCCACGAGGTGGCGCCCTCAGCCTCCTGGCGCTGCTGCGGCTGGAAGCGGGGTGACCGCAGTCCCTGGGCGGGGGACGCCGAGATACAGACGGCTCAGCTCTGTGAAGAGCCAGGCATGGCTCCCGAGACAGGATAAGTGAACTTGCCCAGCGCGGTGGCGCGCACCTCTCAGCCCTGTGGATGCTCCGGAGCTGAGGCAACAGGATGCGAAGTTCAGACCCAGCCTGGGCAAATAAAATAAAATACAATGGGGTGGGGATGTAGCTCAGCCCCGCTGGGTTTAGAGCCCAATATGGCCAAAAAGAAAAAAGAAAACATGAATCATGACTTTCCCTTTTAAGAAGGAAATTGCCCCTCCCTCCTCTTCCTCTTCCTCCTCCTCTTTCTTTCCAGAACTGGGCATTGAACCCAAGACCTCTGCACTGAGACTCGTACCCAGCGCTTTTAAACCTTTTAGTTTAAGTTGCCGGGGCTGGGTTTGAACTTTCAGTCTTCCTGCGAGAGGAAAAGGAAAATCTCTTCCCAACAGCGCGTGGGCAAATGGGCTTGCTCCTGCCCTCACACACCTCCCCCGCCCCCTCCCGGACCTTGTGCAAGCCACGTTTTTGCTTACGGGCACCCCTGTCCCTGCTCCGCAGCCTGAGAGCCAAGATGCATGGTAATTTGCACAACCCCTCCCAGTTAGAGGATGACCAGAACCAGGGCTGTTGGGGCTCAAAATCTCATTGGTTTAAAACCAGTGACAGTTTCACAATTGTTTCTGTGACAACTTTGAGTTTGCTTTCCTCATTTTTCTCTCCTGGGGGACATCTGTTCATTGAGTGAATGTTTTCTTATCAACTACCATACGCCAGGGACCTCCACAGAGTTGTTCAGGCCTTGCGAAGCTGTATTTTGTTTGGTTATATTTCTTGAGACAGGCTCTCGCTATGGAGCCCAGGCTGGCCTCAGACTCACAGTGATCCTCCTGCCTCAGCCTCCTGAGTGCCACCGCATGCGTGCCCCACGAGGGAGGGAGTGATGGAATGGTGCAGCCTCAGCCTTGAGGGCAGAGGAAGGGAGGCACAGGAAGCTGCCGCCCTGCCGCTTCCGGAAGGAAAGACCCCTCCCATGCTTCCACTCCTCGCTGGTTCTGCAGGTAGCCGTGGATTTCTGGGGTCCTGAGCCATGGGAGGCTGTGTCTCTGTCACTGGAAGCCTGCGGTGATTATTCGAGCAGTTGCGGGGGACAAATACTGATGGGAACAGTGGAGAAAAAAAAGGAGAAAAGAGACTAGATGGGGTCCGGGAAGGCCCCTGGACCAAAAGAGTGGGTCATAGCGCGAGCCAGGTGGACCTCTCGGCGAAGAGCATTCTGGGAGGAAGCAGCAGCCAGTCAAGGAGCAACGGGGAGACCAGTGTTCTGGCCCCGGAGGGAGGAGAAGCAGGACAGAGGGCAGAGTGAGGCTGAGGTGCCGCCCCAAGGCCAGGGCGCGATCTCACCACCGCCTCTGCTGGGCATGGTCAGAAGTCCCCGAGGTCGGGCTGTGTGTGCCGAAAGGGTCTCCAGCGGCTGAGTGTGGGGCTGACCGGTCCAGAGGGATCTACGTCTCCAGAGCTGGGCGGACCCCGGGGTATGGGGGTTTCAAAACGGAGAAACCCAGGCCGAGACGTCGGAACTCTATGCTGGCCCTGAGCCATCGCCAACCGCAGAGTCCTTTGTGTCTTTCTACCGAAGACCGCAAATGACCCTTGGGTTTTCCACTTTGCTGACCACTGATTCCTTATTGCTCCAAATTAGCCCTGTCTGATCAAAACGGACTGTGAGCCACGGGTGCCATTCAGACTTTTCTAGTAGCTGCATTTTTTTTAAAAAAAAGGGAAGCTGAGGCAGGAGGATCTTTGAGTGTTTGAGACCAGCCTGGGCTGCAAAGTGAGCTGAAGGCCAGCCTGAACTGCATAGAGAGACCCTGTTTCAGAAAGAGCAAAAACAGGAAAAAGAAAGAAAGCCAAACTAGTAAAATAGATGCCACCAGTGTATTTCATTTAACCCACGATATCCAAGCTCTTACCACTTTCACAGGTGATCAGAATCCAAAGAATCAATCACACCAGAACCTCAAAATCCGTGGGTATTCTCACCTTGACAACGCATCTTGATTCAGATGCTAAACTTCCACCGTACTTTGGAATACGCCACTCTTAGGGCAGCACAAGCAGCCCCCATACCTGGGTTGGTTCCAAACATCCTCACATTCTTTCCCAAATCCAGAACCTGAAATGCTCCAAAATCCAACACTGTCCCAGCACAGACACAAGGGAAAGTTCCACACTGTGAAACTCAGTTTTGTGTACAATATTATTTAAACTCTTATGCAAAGCAGGCAGGCTGTGTTCTCTGCGTGGCTCCCAGCTGAGCTGGAGACTGCTCTGACTCTGCATCCACAGCCCCTGTCCCCTTCCCATCTCCAGAGGGGACCTGGACAGCCCCATCGCCTGGGCCGTGTGTGTTTTCTCCATGGCGCCCCACTTCCTACGCTTTGGGGGAAATGGTTGGGAGGAGGTGGAAGGCAGCCTGCCCTGGACAGCCCTGGAGGTCTGAATAGTCTGGGAGCCCACCTTCCGCCCTAGGAGTCTGCTCACGCCAGCCTACAGGTGACCCCACTTCACCTGGGAAACTCAGGGGCCCAATCCCTAAGAACCCCAGCCAGGACCCCTGGAGCCCTGGCAGCGACCTTCCTAAGCAGGTGGCTCCTCAGGGCGGTTTCCAGAGTATCGGCCCTGGGCGGGCCCTCCAGGGATGCTGTCTGTGACCCCTTCCCACCCAGGCATGTCCAGCCTGCAGGTGGAGGTGAGGGGTGGTGGGCCTGGGCGTGCCCTTGGCTCCCCGACCTGTGTCCCTGCAGAGATGGCACACCTGAGCCTTGCTTCCGCTGCTGTCCCCTGACCTATGAGAGACAGTGTGTCAGAGCTCAGGGCAGGAGCTCTGGAGCCAGGAGGCCCGCACTTGCCACCACCCTGCTGTGTGAGCCCAGGTGCATTCCCTGACCTCGCTGTGCCTCAGTCCCCTCATCTGTCAAAGCCACCAAGCACATCAGTCTGAGGGTGTTGTTAAAGAACAGAAGAGTGACAGGCTGAGCACCGCTAATCAGAAAATCTGAAATCCCCCACCCCAATCTGAAACTGTTTGAATGCCAAACGGACCCCAAAAGTAGGAAATTCCATTTCCTGAAACGGGTTTTTATCCTCTCCCCCAACTCAAAACAATGTATAAAACTCTCTTCCAGCAATGTGTGTAAGGCGTGGACAAAGCGTAAATGAATTTTGCATTTGGGCTGGATCCTACGTCCAGAACATCCTCTTATGTCCATGAGAATATTTCAAATCTGAAAAATTCCTGAACCTGAGATACGTCTGGCCCTGAAGTTCAGATAAGGGATGCTCCCCCTGGATTGGGTATAAAGCCCTTAAAACAGTGAGACACATCGCAAGCGCTCAACCCACTTGTAGCTTATTTTAAAAGTTAATTAAACAATAGTAAGGCGTCACTGTGGCTTGCTGCTATCTTCTCCTGCAGCAGTCTGTATCTCCCTGTCCATCTCGAGTGTCTCTGTCTCTTCTCTCTCCCTTTCCTGGGTCCCTGGCCCTGGCCAGCCTGTCACTAGGCTCCCTGCCTCCATTCTTGTCCCCTTCTGTCCTCTTTGACTGCTGGGGCAGGGCCTTACCCACCCATCCAGCAGTCTGTGGAGAAGAGTTTCTATCAGAGAACAGAAGCATTAGGAACTCTGTCCCTCCAAGGGAGAGACAGCAGTAGGTGTTAGAAAAATAAACACACAAAAGCTGGCCATGGTGGTTCAGATTTGTAATCTCAGCGCTTTGGAAGGCTGAGACAGGAGGATCAAGTTCAAAGCCAGCCTAGACAATTAGTGAAGTAATGATACCCTGTCTCAAAGAACAAAGTAAAGAGATGAGGACAGAAGCTTAGGAGGGGCCCATCAGGGCTGGAGAACCCCTGGAGGTTGGGGTTATGTTTTGAGGGTGCAAACCAAGAGCAGGAGCCTGGGCAGGGGCCGGGGCAGTGGCAGGTGTCCAAACTTGGGCCGCTTTTTAAAAGGACTTCTCAGAGCTCAGTGGGTCACTCCCTCTTTGACCTTGATTGTGTGTCTCTGTGTCTCCGTGCCCCCCCATCCAGCTCTTCATTTTCTCCCCCCCCCCCATCTCTCCTGCTGTCTGCTTGTGCCTCCTGGCCCTTGCTGATCTCTTGCTGTCATCTCAGCTCCCTTGGTTGCTGATTCTGACCCGAGGAGTCCCCATTCTGTCCCAGACACCTCACTCCAAGTGGCTGCCCCCTGCCAGAGGGGAGTACCACAGTGTGACCTCCCAACCCCACACCCCAAAGAACAGGGACAGGGACAGGGCTCCCCATCCAGCCTTTCCTCCCCCCCTTCAGCTCCCTACCTGGCCCCTGCCCAGCACCCTGACCATGGACATTAGTCACAGCCCTGTCCCACCCTCCTTATGGTCAGAGCTGGTGGGCCCAGCAGGGGTGCGGGAGGGGTAGGAGTGAGCCACAGGGAGACAGACAGACAGACACAGCTGGAGAACTAGACAGATGCCAAGAAAGGCCAGAGACAGAGGGCAGACAGAGAGAGACATTTGTCAGAGAATCAGAGACAGGAGAGAGAAACGCAGGAGAGAGACGAGGGCCAGGGAGAGCCAGAGATGAGGCCAGAGAGTAAGGGGGACAGAGACGGGGACCCAGAGGGGCACAGAGGTGGGAAGGGAGAGCCTGCACTGGGCAGTGGGCCAGGGTGGAGGGATGCTGCCTTCCCATCTCCCCAGACAGCCCGGGGCGCGCCAGGCTGTGGTCTACCTCGGCAGGTGGCTGGTGATGTCACCCCCACCCTGCGCCCAGGTCCCCACCCGTCTGAGCTCCAGGGCCCCAGGCCCCACCGCCCTGTAGAGCATCGTGGACTCCTGCTGCCTGGGCTCCTGCTGTTCCCCGCCCAGCCCCAACCCCCCAAACCGTTCTCCAGGCAGGATGCTTTAAAGAGGAAATGAGCCCTGCCTCGGGTCACTCCTTCCACCTTCCTGCTTCACAGCATTGCACGAAAGCACAACTGAAGTCCTTAGCAGGGCATCCAAAGCCCCGGCTCTGCCCTGCAGGCCCAGCCCCTCCCCCTGGGCTCAGGCTCGGGCTCCGGAGTGCCCTCCTCAGGTGCCCACGGCTTTCCTCTGTTGTCTGCCCCTGAGGGAGGGGACTCGGCTTGTGCCTTCTTCTGCCCAGGCCTGGCACAGAGCTTGAGCATGACAGGTGAGCCAGGGCTCACAGCACACAGCACCCTGCAAGGTGCTTCACCTTCCCAGTGGGAGTCGTGCTTACCCCAACTCTAAGTGGGAAACAGAGGCTTTCAGGAGTACAGTTGCCGAAGGAAGTCCTCCATGCCGGCAGGCTTGGGCTTTGAACCTGGGAAGTGGCCCAGGAAGGGAGAGAGATAGGCAGGGGCAAAGCAGGGAAGGGGCAGGGAAGAGAGAGAGACAGAGACAGGGACCGAGACTGAGAGAGATGCAGTGAAAGGGAAAAATGACAAACTACACAAGCGAGAACAAAACTGGGAGAGAAGAGAGGGAGACCACGCGAAAGAATGAGGGAGGACAACAGAGACAGAACACAGGGGAGAGAAAACAGGTGAGACAGAGAGAGGGGGAGAGATCCAAAGAAGAAAAGGGGGCGGGCTTGGGGACCCCGCCCTCCCTGGGCCCCTGCTCCCAGCCCCTCTGGGTCCCTGCCCACCCCCTGGCATGGCGGCCTCCCCGCAGATTGGCACTGGCGGATGCAGCACCTGCCCCTTGGAATGCACCCCTGGGGGGCAGGCCAGCCCAGGCTGCGGCTTATAAACGCACAGGGGCCTTGCAGGAGCAACTCTGCACAGCTGCAGAGCACGGAAGCCTAGAGGCAGCCAGGTAAGCATCGCAGGGGCCCCCAGAAAGCACGGTAGCCTTCGTGAGCCGACTCCCAGCAGCTCAGAGTTGCTATGATCTGAGCCTCCTGTCTCCTCGTCTTTGGTCCAGTGGGTCCCCCGTCCCGGATCAGAACTGCATCTTCCCCTAGCCTCTGCTCTCCGGGCCACCTTAGATTGGATCTCTCCAATCCCACTATTTCCCAGGTCTTGGTCTGTCCCTGAGGGCCTGCACCTGCATCTCCTCCGGGTCACAGATGGCTGGCCTTTCTCTGTCCCCTTCATCTCCCCCCTCGTGAGGGTGCAATGCTGGGGGGTGTAGGATCCCACTGCCCCTGTAGCATCCCAGGGAAGGAAGGAAGGAGAGAAAGAGAGATGGTGGGGTAGAAAGACTTGGGCTGAAAGCCCCCGGATTTACCTGAGTCCCCATCTCTGAAGGTGCCGGCATGATGCTCACAGCAGGAAACCCCTGGAGCTGGATTCTGGGGTACCTTATGCTTGGAGGCACAGGTATGTCGCTGTGTGTGCGTGTGTGACATACTATGGCAAAGGAGTGTGACACAGGGCCGGCTCACCCCCACTGAGCCTGCCCACCTGTGCCCCTCCCCAAGGTGCTGCTGTGGGGGGGGGCTGTGCGGTGGTCCCTGAAAGGCATTGGGCGTCACCTAGGGCCCAGCCTTGATGGGGTGAGGCTGAGTACCCCAAAATGACAGGCTGTTAGGATGCTGTGGGTACAGGGGACTGCTACACAGCACCAATGCCTGCTTCGCGGGTTGCTAGCCCTGAGACCCTGGGAAATCACTGTGTGTGTGTGTGTGTGTGTGTGTGTGTGTGTGTGTGTGTGTGTGTGTTAGGCCAAGACAGGGCGTGTTTGGGCGTGGCAGGGCGAGGCCCGTCTAGGTTGGCTAAGAAGCCTCCTGCCCAGGACTCCCAGACCTTAACTCATCCCAAGGAACCGGTGTTTACCCTGGGAGCCACAACTATGCTTGACCCTAACTGTGTCCTTTCACTGAGGCCCCAGCAGCCTGGGCTAACTCCTGACCTCCTCCATAAAGCCCTGAGGGCTCCCTGAAGCGCTGACCCCGCCCTCATACTTATTACCCCACCCCAAAGCCCAGGCCACGCCCCCACACCAGCCTGCATCCCAAGCCTGAGCCCAGCCAAGGTCCCACTCCTGTATGGAAAGCCTCTCAGCTCCCCTGAAATCTTTACCATACCTGGGCCTTGGTCCCGCCCCTGAAGCCCTAGCCACGCCCGGGGAACCCTGGCGACGCTCCACGCTGTAACCACGCCCCGAGGACCTGGTCCCGCCCCTAAAGCCTTGGCCTAGGCCTCGAAGCCCTAGATAAGCCTCCAAACCCCGGCCACGCCCTACACTGTAGCCCCACCCCGGGAGCCCTGGCCACGCCCCCACCGGCTCAGCCCTGGTCCCGCCCACTGTAGTCCAGCCCTCGAGATCCCTAACCCTGTCCCATGCCAGCCCCCAACCCTGCCTCCGCCCCCAGGGGCCTCCTACCCCGGCGGCCACATCATCCACGGCGAGGACTGCATCCCGCACTCCCAGCCTTGGCAGGCGGCCCTGCTCTCAGACAACGAACTGTTCTGCTCGGGCGTCCTGGTGCACCCGCAGTGGGTGCTGTCAGCCGCGCACTGTTTGCTGGAGTGAGTGCGGGCGCCTCCTGTGGGGCCCAGCCTGGGGTTGGGGGCGGCCCACGCTGCAGGGCAGGGTGGGGCCCGGAGCCCTCTGCTCCCAGGGGCAGGTCCGAGTTTGCACGCAGATCCGCTCTTAGCTCGGGAAGCGCTCAAGGGTGCCAGTGGGCTGGTCTGCACCGTGCAGACCCCAGACTCACCGGCCCCGCACTCCTCAGCTCCTACAGCGTGGGGCTGGGGCTGCACAGCCTGGAGGCCAGCCAGGAGCCAGGCAGCAGGGTCCTGGAGCCCCTACTGTCCGTCCAGCACCCGGACTACGACAACCCCTCCTTTGCCAACGACCTCATGCTCATCAAGCTGAAAGAGGCGGTGCCTGAGTCCAGCACCATCCGGAGCATCAGCGTGGCCTCGCGGTGCCCCATGGCGGGGGAAGAGTGCCTGGTGTCCGGCTGGGGTCGGCTGGCCAATGGTGAGCAGGCGGGGCGCCCGCGCGCTGCCTCCCCGGGCTGCGCACCCCGCAGGCGCTGACCCCTCTATCCCCAGGCGGACTGCCCAAGAGGCTGCAGTGCGTAAACATCTCGGTGTCGCCCCCGGAGGTCTGCAGCGAGGTCTACGACTCCCTGTACCACTACAGCATGTTCTGTGCGGGCGGGGGATCCAACCGCAGGGACTCCTGCCACGTGAGTGGGGGGCGTGGACGGGTAGGACAGGGAGACCGAGGACGCGCGGTGAGAACCCGCGTAGAGAGTGACAGAACAGACAGGCAGACACGGGAATACAGACAGGGGCCAAGAAAGAGAGAAACAGGCGGGTGGGAGAGAGACAGCCAGCCAGCCAGTCAGAGGCAAAGACAGACACAGAGACCAAGAGAGACAGAAAAGCCAAGAGACAGAGACACAGAGAGACCGACGTCCCTGAGAAAAATACCAGCTGTGGTCAAAACAGAATGAAGAGCCAAGTGTTTAAAAACTAACCCAGCCAAACACTCCCTGCCTTTAATCCCTCGGGATGCCCCCCTGGTGTGCAGCCCACTCATCTCCCAGGCTTGCTGCTTTCTGGAGCAGCTCTGGAGTCCTCTTCCCTGAGAGGCTTTAGTTTCACTGTCTTGGCTGCTACGATGGCCTGAATTGGTTCAAAACGTCAACCTTTTAGATCATTTTGCACATGGGGAAGAGGCAGAAGTCTCATAGGGCCAGAATCAGACCAGAATAAGGTGGATGAGGGCAGATTCTCACATTTTAGGACAGTGTTTCTGTTGGATATGCAATAGCTGCATTCACCAGTTTTTGATCACCTCACATAAAGGCACTCAGAGACAAAGGACAGATAGGGACCAAGAAAGAACCCAAAGGAAGTTGCCTCTTTAAGGGGAAGGGGGCAGGGCCAGAGAGGTCAGGGTCTGGCCTGGGATCTCCCCGAAGTGTTATTAAGGGTTTTCTCTTTGGTTCTTCTCCGATCCCCATCTGTCACCTCTCAGTGATTTTGAACTCTGATTCTCTCTCTCTGCAAAACAGGGTGACTCTGGGGGACCCCTGGTCTGCAATAGATCCCTGCAGGGCCTCGTGTCTTTAGGACACATTCCGTGTGGCCAGCCCGGTATTCCCGGCGTTTACACCAACCTCTGCAAATTCACCGACTGGATCCAGCAAACCATCCACACCAGCTAGCCACGGGACCGGGACCGTGAAGCCGAGCGTGGTGCAGATGCTACCGGGGGAAATGCATAACCGTTGGGTCATTTCTCCCTCAGACTCAGGGGTACGGGTCCCATCCCTCCTCCCTCAGTGCTGGTGGTCGGGACCCAGCCTCCTCCCTCAGACCTCAGGGGTTCATGCCAGTCTCCCTCAGACCTAGGAGTACAATCCACCTCCGGTCTTTGCCAGTGCACTGTGCCCTCTAGTGGCATAATATTTACTCAGTCTTCAGTGATTTTTCCCTTTTGTCCTCTTGCCCAAGATCCAGAAATAAAGTGTAAGAAAAGCACGGCTTCTGTTGAAAGTGCCATCCTTGCTTTGCTTCCCATTCAAGGTTTCCTGGCAAACAGCTCTCTCTCCTAGGACCTGGTTTTCCCATCTGGAAAATGGAAGTTTCCCCCAGAGGGACTCAGGCTATAGAAGTTGAGAAACCATCTCTGTGCCTGATCTGGTTTCTAAAACATTAAGTCGGGAATTCTGAAGTCACGAGATTTTCTTGAGGTGAACTAAGAGCTCTGGGGGCCCATCTTTGGTTTTGTCTTGTTGAATCAGCTTTAAAGATGTTTAACCTCTGTGTGCTCGGGACCCTGGTGCTGTAGGTGGAGCATGAAGACAGGGTCATGAAAGAGAAGGGGGGACCCAGGCTCAGAGAGAGGGGAGACCCAGGGCCCAAGAATAGTAGGAATTGTTATTGGATTCTCCCCTGATGAGGAATGCGCCCACAAGGATTTGGGATATATTTATAAGCTTTTTATTTGTGAATCTGTGCACAGGAAAATAGTCAAATTTTTATTATTATTTTTGTACTGGGAATTGAACTCATGACCTCACACTTGGCAGCTAGGAGCCATGCCGCTGAGATATATCCCAGCCCTCTGTATGTTTTATTTCTTTATTTTTATTGGTACCAGGAATTGAACTCAGGACCTTATGCTTGCCAGGAAGGTACTGTGCCCCTGAGCTATGTCCTGGCCCCCTGTATCTTTTAACAGTTCCTGAAAAATATAAACAGGTAAGACATGTAAAAGTAAACTCAATAAAGCTTGACTCATAAAATGAGTTTTACAGTAGCCAGTAGAAAATAATAGAACAAATAAGATAAACATATATCGAAGTACGCAGGGTATATCTCAGTGGTAGACCAGTTGCCTGTATGCATTAGACCTGGGTTCCATCTCCACGACCAAAAGAGGGAAAGCAAAAGATCAATAAGGATCCTGATGATCTGGGAATGCTTATCACCTGCCCGTGGTGGGCATCTGTGGAACTGTACATGTAGAATATAGATTCAGTTCAGCATACACACAAAATAGCCAGGATGACTGAAGATAGAAAGGCTGACAGCAGCAAATACTGGTTAAACATTGTGATAAAAGGATGAAGTATTTCAATTAAAATTCTCAAGAACGCTGCCACTAATCCTCTTCCAAGTACTCCCCCTCACTTTGAGCACACTTATCCCATTCTTATTTGCCACCTTCTGAAACCATTCTGCAGTCCTCTTTTATGACTGCCTGAATGTGTACAGCAATTTCTGCCAAATAAGAATTTCGTGTCCTCCTCATTCAACTTATTCACCAAAGTGCATCTTCTGGCGCTTCCCCAAAGCCAAAAGGAATCACGAAAGTACATGTTTTAAAGCAATTTGGGACACTGAGCCAGCTACATCAGCACAACTGATCAAGACCAGGGGGACTATTTGGAGGCCAATTAATGACATCATGTCTCTCACTGTCATAAAAATTTTCCAGTGTGAGCACCTACCATAAGTCTTATCACACCTCATATACAGGGCAGCAAGAACTCTCTTGTGTTGCAGGTGGGCATGGAAAACAGTACACTGAATGTGGAAAAGTATTGCAGAATCTTGGAAAGATAAGCATATGTCTTCCCCACGCTCAGCAAGTTCACCCCGGCGTTTATGTCAGCGCCATAAAAAAAGCAACACAAGCCTGCCTAAGAATGTTCACCGTGACTTTAGTCGTAAGGGTCAGATTGGAAGAGAGCAAGCATCCAGTCCTTGGTGAATGCTAAGGAAATACTTTAGTTCAAAACATTTTATAATTTCCACTGTATTTCTTGTTTGAACTGTGGGCTCTTCTGTGCACAGCACAGAAGCCACTCAGCAGTGAAGAGAAGTGAACTGTTGTCACAGACAGCAAAGGAGAGGCAGGGCACCCTCTTCACGCTCCATGGAAGAAACCAGACACAAGCTGTTATGCACTGTACGATTCCGTTTGGATGAGATTCTAGAACAAGCACAAACCAGTGTTACCAGTGGCTGGGACGGGGTGAAGTCGGGGAGTAGTCATAAGACACAGCTAGGAAGGGATCTGAGGGAAATTTCTGGGCTGATTGGAATTTGCTAGAGCTTTACAGGAACCTAGGATAGGTATTTGCCAAAGCATGTTGAATCGTATACTTGAAACCCATACTGTGTACTCAACACAAATTATACCTTGGTTTAGCAACCACATGTAGCATTTATAAAAATGAACCTCGAATCGAGACTTGCTGTGAAACAAGTTGCCACAAAATCCACAGTTCTGGTGGGGAGAGTAGGTTTTCTGACCACGGTATAATTAAGCTAGAAAACATGACAAAATGATAGGCAGAATATTATAGCTGTGTGCTTTGCTTTTAAAGGAACACTTCTAAAGAACCCACAGTTCAAACAAGAAATACAATGGAAATTAGGAAACACTTTGAACCAAATGTTAAAGAAAACCCAGCATGCATTTATTATGTACCTGCTAGAGGGCTTGCAGAGAATCCCATGGCCACCAGCACGTATTATTAGGGGAAAAAAGAACTGCACATTCCTTAATAGTTCAACGATCTCTAGATGTAAGAAGAATAACAGCAAAATGAATGCAAAAAGGAGGAGAAATAAAATGTTAAAGATGAAATTTAATGGCACAGAAAACACTGTGCACTAGAGAATTCTTCCATATGTAAAGTTTGTTCACTAGATGATCGTGAAAACTGGAAGTCCAATAATCAAGTTATTCTTGTAGAACTGACAGTAGAATTTAGCAGGACTGTTAGAAGTAAATATCAGTTGTATGACTGTTGTGAGATTTATAAAATCAAACACCTGAAAATCGGGCTTGGGATGTAGTTCAGTAGTAGGTCTCTTGCCAATCAAGCACAAATCCTCAAGACCGAAAAGATGTGTAATTGCAGGAGAGAAAAATTTAATTGTTTTGTTTGTTTTGTTTTGTCTTTTTCGTTTTTACCGGTACTGGGGATTGAACTCACAACTGCCTGCTTGCAAGGCAGGCACTTATGCCGCTGAGCTAAATCCCTAGCCCCCAAAAACTTAGTTTATTAAAAGATAACTATAAAGATCAAAATGAGAGATACAATATGTCATGTGCATAAGTAAGACTGTGTTCTTATAAAGATGCTAATTACCTAGAATTTCATGGGGGTGTGGGGCAGGATCTATCCTCACAAATTTCCACCACACAATTTTTCTTTCTCTCTCATTTGATTGGTACGCGCTTGCAGCACATTAAGATCGCCCACCTCGTCAGAGTTGGTACACGCCTCAATTCCTCTTTCATCCCTTTTCTCTCCTGCCCCTCCCCACTCCCTGTATCTCTCCATTCTTTTCCCTGTTGCCCCGTTTCCTATTATCTGTTATTTTGTTCTGTAATTTATTTATATTTTGGTTTCTTCTTATAAGAGAAATCGTGCCATGCTCAACCTCATGTATCTGACTGATCTCACTTAATGTTGTATTTTCAATGTGCATCCATTCCACGTCTAGGCATCTTCCTGAAAGAATTAAAAACATTGTATTACAGTGACCCAAGCATACTCGTGTATATAGAAGCACAAATTGTAGTAGCTAAGTCTTGGAGCCGGGCCCTAGGTCTGCCAATAGACGAATAGATGAAGACAGTGTGGCCAGTGCAGTCCTACTGTGCCATACAGAAGGGTAAACTTGGGTCATCTGCAGGCAAATGGATGCATTTTGAGTCCAACTTAATTTGAGGCTTACGGGCTTTCCCTTAGGACCAGAGTAGTGGCTCTTATTGCCTCTTATAACACCATACAGCTACAGAGACAGACAGGGTGCATTCAGATCCAAAGAAAGCCTGACTGGGGTGCTTGCTGGGACCACCCCTAAATCCCTTCTCTGGCCTCAGACCCCCGTGAGGTCTCTCTTGGACTTACTCCTTGCTCTTCCGCATTATTTCAATAAACTCTCCACTTTCCCACACTCCTTGGATTTGGTAAAATCTTTCACCGCCTTGGGTACCAGCCTTCCTAATGCTTCCTTGCACGGCAAATAACTGGTGCCGAAAAACTGCGTACTGGTACAGATCTGTGTGGTGCGGGGCTGGTAGATGATTCCCTAACACTACCCACAGGAATCAAGTGGATAGAAGACCTGGACATGAGAGGCCAGGCATGGAGATATCTAGGATGAAACTTACAGTGAGTCTTCCAAGTCCTCAGGTAGGAATCATGAAGATAGAGGTCTCCATTGCCCCAAAATCTTCCTCCTGAGTATATACCACAATAAGCTCAAGTGTATATCAGTATATCTGACATTTGTACTATGAGTCATAGCCTACATGGCATACATACATCTACTGTTCATGGGAGTCATTTTAATAGTAACACTGAAACAACCCAACAGCCCAAATCAATAAATTAGATCAATAACAATGATGTCATCATGCAATGGAATGTTCAGGAACATTTCATAAACAGGAATGGAATTCTGAACATGGACCAACCTTGGAAACAGGATGCTAAGTAAAAGAATTCAGTCACCAAAAGCCACATGTTGTAGATTCTATTGGAAATATGCAGAATAGGAAAATCCATGGAAACAGCAGAGCTGTAATTTCCAGGCTCTGGAAGGAGGAGAGGATGGAGGTGACTGCTGATCTGAACGGGGTTTCCTTCAGGGGTGACTAGACTGTCCTGAAATGAATGACAACAATTGTTGTACAACATCATAACCTTACTAAGCATCACTGGCAATAGACATTGTAGTATGTATGCTGTGACAATTTTTAAGAGAATGAGCCTACAGAAGATTTAAATAACATTATCAACTACCCACATAACCTCTATACCTATAAATCTATAGCCCACCACACAGATACGCTCTATCACAAATAATGTCCAGGTGCAGGTGATGTTAAAATGAAGGCATGCAAAGAGCTTTGTTGTCTATTTGGGTGCTTTGACCTCATCTCTGTGAGCCCCAGGAGCCTCTTCCAGTCTCTGGCTTAGCGTTAGGTCTCCCTGCAGGCAGTCTGGGGCTTG